GGAAAAACACCCTGAAGTGTTTTTAAGTGCTATTAAGATTAAAATGACTGTGTTTAAATACATTGACGGGATTCTGGAAATCTGCAAACATCTGAGTCTGGAAAGCTGATTTAATGGCTTAAGTGGGTCAGATGCAGGTGAGAGGGAGAGAGATTGATCTATTTGCAAAGTTTTGAGAGAAGCCAAGTTGCCTTAAGTGTTTGTGGCAGCCAAAGACCACGCAGGAAAAGCCCAGGATCGCAGCCCTTGGAATTGGTTTCTAATCTTGGGATTGACTGACCTCCCTAGAAAACAAGCAGTTCTGACTCCTTTCGGTGTTTTAAAAACCCGAATCTCCAGCGATTATCAAATACGGAAGGCGCTTTCTAAGCAAACTGTAAAACCTCCTTTCTCAGGCCTCAATTCTTGCTCGCTTAAGTCGTGAAAACCACCACCTCCTGATTTCATCCACCGGAATCCCAAACCAACAGCTACAGCGATGCTCGCTGCCCACGAGTTCTTTTCTGCGCAAACTCCACTCTTAAATCCAGGCGCGGGGAGGCTCTGCGAGACTAGGGCAGGTTGAAGAGGCGGGAGTGATGGCGCAGTCGGGCGGGCGGCTGTCCCCGATCATGAGGCTCCTCTCTCTCTCTCTCTCATCGCCGAGCTCTGCGTTTGGCCTTTAGCATTGTTAAGTGACGCCGAGGGCAGAGCAAGCGCGGTGTGGTGGCGATTTTTGGGCCGGCTCCAGTCCATGGGGAACGCAGACAGCAGCAGCTTCAATAATCCGTGGAGGGACGAACCTTCTCCCTTTTGGCGGCGACATTTCACTTTAATTCTGCTTCTCTCCACGGAGAGACGTTTTCCCTCCTTCCTTCCTCTCTCTCGCTCTGTTCTCCAGCTGCAGCGACTTTAAAGCTAGCAACCAACCCGCCCACCGCCTCCTACAGGGATTTTTTTTTCCCCGCCCTGATTTCAAACAATCACACCAAAACACAAGCAAACGTTCCCCCGCGCCCACCTTCCGCAACTTGCTCCAAAATGCGTGGCTGGGAAGGCGGTTGCCAGGCAAAAGAAAAGGGGCACCGTTCCGGGGGAATAAGAGGCGTCCTCGTAGCCCGCGGCCCTCAGAAATGTCGCCTTTCTTGCCCAAAATTCTGTTTTCTCTCAAATCGGGGGATGGAAGGTGTGTCTGGAAATCCGGCTCTGCTGTGCGGGCACCTCCGCCATTAAGCGACGATGGCTCTCCCGCTTTCCCGCCGCCAATCTCCCCATGCCACCAGTGACATAAAGGGGTGATTCTCTTCCCTCCCTTCTTCAGCCGAAAGGAAGGTGGGACGAGGAAGAGGTGACACCCCCCTCCCCATCCCCAGTTGCGTTTCTTCGCGCGGCGCCGCTTTTCCAAAGTTTTCGCGATTTGAAAAAAAAAAGCGAGCGGGTAAAATGCGTTTAAAAAACACGTGTGCCCACCAGAGATTTTGTGCCGGTTCCAAGTTCAAAAAACTCGCCGCCGCCAGTGTTTAAAGGAGCTGCCATCCTGGCACCGATCCCAGTACGTACCATGGGTAGGGTACCGATCCCAAAGTCAGCGCGAGAAATTTGCGCCCCTGCTGACCATTTTTTTGGCTTCTCCCAATTGTTTTCGAAAGATCGTCGCTCCTCTCTCGTTCCCTCGGTGCGTGTGTAAACTGCCACTTTCTACCCCTCTGACCTCAAAAGTTTTACCGACAGCGTCCCTTTCTCTGCCTCATCATTTGTTTTTTTTGAAGTCGAGACCAAAAAACCCCCAACCACCAGGGTTTCATGCGGGTAGGGATTCTACTCAGCTCCGCACTCAGGTTAAGGGATGATGACCGCTACCATTTCTGGGGTCCCGGCGACCCAAATCCTGCCCTTTCTGAACCCCGCAGTATCTTGAGTCACGGCCCCTCCAGTTCGGGCGGGGACCCCCCTGAAAACTGTTCGCCGGCTCCGTGCTGCTGCAGCCGACCACGTGAGGGCGTCCAGTGTGTTAGTTACAACAAATTAACCCAGGGCTAGTGCTCCCCCCGAAGTTCGTCAGCGCCCCCCGACCGGACAGAGAGACGCGGGCCCCGCTTTCCTATCTGAGCCGTGCGCTCCCCGAGAGCTGGGGCTCTTTCTAGGCGGTGCAGAGCCCTCCATATAGGGCGCCCCTATCCTCTGTCTTTCCCCAGTATAGGGTGCGCCTTTAAAATCGCCTCTGAAGAGCCTTTCCCGTGTCCGGAAAACTCTGACACCCAGGCAGCTGGATCAGGTACCGTCGGGAGGAGCAGATGCCAACAGCATCTCGTCCCTGCGGCCCCGGATGCGCGCAAGAGAGCTCGGCGAAGGGGCCACAAAAAGCACAATTCAGAGCTTGCCTTCTCGCTCCCTGTTGTTGTTCTCAACATGGTCCGCTCCTGACGCATATAAAGAGCGGTGCCGAAGCCCGCCCAGGCAGATTGCTTTTCTCAGGCGACGTTGAAGAAAGCCGCGCTCGGTCGCTCTGCTTCTTTCTCTTCTCCGCTGACCCGGCGCCCCCGCGACCGAGAGGAGCCCCGCGGAAAAAGAGCCCCGAGGGCCAGCCGAGCGTTCTCTCCCAACACTTTTGGGCTGAAAGCCAGCGCGTTTTCCCACCATGTCTGTTGAACTGGAAGAAGCTGACCTGCCGCTGACCGAGGCAGAAGAGGCGCCTCTGGCTCCGGAAAAGAAAGGGGCGGCCAAGAAAGCCAAAGGTGGCGTGTCGGCGCTCTCCCCATCCAAGAAGAAGAAAAACAACAAGAAAAAGAACCAGCCGGGCAAGTATAGCCAGCTAGTAGTGGAATCCATCCGCAAATTGGGCGAGCGTAATGGCTCCTCGCTGGCCAAAATCTACAACGAAGCCAAGAAAGTGGCTTGGTTCGACCAGCAAAACGGGCGGACCTATCTCAAATACTCCATCAAGGCGCTGGTGCAAAACGACACTCTGCTCCAAGTGAAAGGCACCGGCGCCAATGGCTCCTTCAAGCTCAACAGGAAAAAGCTGGAGGGGGGAAGCGAAGGAGGCGCCGGAGGCGGTGGCGGTGGCGGCTCCCACGCCAAATCCCACAAGAAGGCGGTCGTCGCGTCCACTTCGCGAAAGGTCGAGAAGAAGCCCGTCGCCAAGAGCAAAAAGCTGGAGAAGAAATCGCACAAGAAAGGCGCGGGCGGCGGGACCGCCAAGAAAGACAAGGTGAAAGCGAAGAAAGCCCCCAAGAAAAGCGTCCCTTCCCCCAGCGCCAAGAAGGTGAAAAAATCGGCGAAGCCCAAGGCGCTCAAGAGCAGGAAATGAGACTGCCGGCCTCCCAACTTGGAGGGAAGATGCCGCCTCCGTTGTCTTTCGCCCCGAGACTTTTGAGCCCCGAGACGACACTTGACTTTTAGCTCGAAGCACAGCCATGTTTCCAGCTTTGATATTTTTTTTTTTTGGTCTGTTTGGCTCCATTTCTGCATCATTTCTTCCCTCGGAAGGCGGGCGTGTGTAAAATAGCACTTCGCTTTCACCCGCAGACCCCTATCGAGATCATTGGGACATTTTGGATCGCACCCTTTTCCTTTTTATTGGAATATTGTTGCCATTGGAAGCTTGCTTTTCTGCTTTTGTGCTCTGCAAAAGTAGCGTGATGTTTGTTGTAAATACTCCCCACCCCCATATGTGGGCGAGGTTCGGCCCCTGGTCATTGGCCCTCAATTTTACTGCAGGGGAAGGGAGGGGGGGTCATCCTTGGTGGATACCTAAAGTTTGAAGTACCAGCAATCTCGGTCGCCCCCTTTAAAGGCTGAGATGCCATGGCAACAGCCTGTTGGATGCACGGGCGTCCGCCCAGTTCCTGGGCCTGGAGTGCTGGCGGCGCTTGCATGGGGGGGGGGGGGGCGGTCGCATGGGACCAAGTGACCAGCAGAGTAGCTGATTTTACCTCGGAGGCTTGCGCAATCACTGCAGGTTTGAAATACGTGTCTAATCAAATCTGGGGGCGGGGAGGGAGGGAATGCGGTTCACCTTCGCCTACAAGATTTTGTATCGTCCTTTTCAGGTTTCGTCTTCAAATGCCTTTTTTAAATACAAAATTTCCTCGTGTTTTTTTTTTTTTTTGTTTGTTCAATAAATCGTTTAAAACATTTTCTCACGTTCTGCTTCCTCGGTGTTTTTATATTCAGGATCGAAACGAAACAGTCGTTTTTATTTTGGGGGGGGGGAGGAGAAGAAGGAAAGATGGGATACCGGGGGCGTTGGAATCGTGAGATCCCGAAATCACTCTTGGGGAATTGGGGTCTCGCGGTGGATATGATGGAGGGGCTCGGTGCAGATGTTTGGCGCCCACTCCCTAGCAATGCAACTAACTGGGTGGGCGTGGCTGTTTGCGTCCCTTCTGTTTCATCTAAGCTTTTGGCAAAGATGCGGCCCCCTTTCCGGTCCCCTCCCCTGGGGTTTTTCCTTGCTAAATAACCTTACATTCTGGGGTAGCCTTATTGGGGGGGGGGCAGCTGAGCGGCCTAGGGCCGAAATAAAAATGAAGGTAAAGGAGCCCTCCGGCCAATTCCAAGGAGGATTAACCTCTTTTTCACGCCCACCCTGAAGCGGACACACCCGAGCATTTTGCAAAGCCCCGCCCCCATTGGCGAGTTTTCTATTCCTAACCTTTTGAGATCGAGTCATCTGGCGTTCTTTGCGCATGTGCAAGCGAGGATGCCGATTGGAGCGATCACTGAGCCGGAAGTGACGTCGTCAGACGGAAGGCTTCGGATTCGTAAATCCTGGGTGGGAGGGGGGTAGAGAGTCAAGGCTTCTGACTATAGGAATTTTGCTCTCCCGTTTTTACTCGCCGCGCTCCTTCGGTCCTTCGTTGCTGAAGATGCCCTTCTTGTGTTCGCTTATTTTGGAAAGGCAAAACTTTTTGCCATCCCATTCCCTCATCCCCCCCCTTTGGTGTAATCTTAAATGTATGCGACTCCCTTAAAAGATCCAGAGACCAAAATGAACAATGAAAACAATACAACGAAACTGGGAAAGGCGGATTTATTGTGATAGTCTTAACTTAAAAGGTTTTCGTACCCAAGGGGAGGTACAACTCGGAGAAACCCTCCTACAGGAACGTTTTTATATCCATTGCTGGTCATAACTACTCACCCCTCCAAATCCATCTGATCACTTTTTAGTGGCGTTTGTTGTCCCGGTGGTAGGAAACGAAAACTATAAACACTTTGTAGCAAAATTGACACAAAAATTCTTCCCCACCTCTCCCACATCTAAGGCCCCTTTCTAATTCAGTACAAACCAGGGCTGGATGCAAAAACTAAAGTGCTCAGGATAAGGCATGCCTTTCAAATGTAACAAATACTGGTAAAGGACATGCAACTCAGTGACTCTTAAAGCATTTGATGAATCTGCGGGGGCAGGGGGGGATCTGGATATATAAAATTCAAAACTATGTAATCTCAAAATTTATAAAAACCAGCCCACACTTTTATAATACCAAGACTAGGCATTAGATAATTTTGGATGTGCTGGCCAAGACCCAGGACATTACATATTGTCTTTGGCAAAGCAGCAATTTCCTAGAAAAGGATGGCTTTTACTTCCTGCCTTTATTCTGTAAAACGGGAGAAATGCTCAGTGTGAAGCAAGAAAACAAAGGATCAAGAAAACAATAAGGAGCTGCTGCAAACTACACAGGTCTTTTCAATTATCCTTGCTCGAAGCCCTATACCAGTGATGGCTAACCTTTTTGCCGTCGGGCGCCAAAAGTGGGGGGAGCACGGGGGTCACACACATGTGTGCCCACACCCATAATTCAATGCCCCCCATGCCCGCCCTCCCTGCTCATGCATGTGCGACCTCCCCCGCACTCTCCCCGCTTTTGGCATGCGATGGCAAAAAGGTTACCACGGAGGCCCTCCAGAGGCCAGAAAAGGTCCGTTTCCTGACTTCTGGTGGATCTGGAAGGCCTGAAAATTAGCTGGTTGGCACGTGCATGCGCACTGGAGCTGAGCTAGGGCAACGCTGGCGTGCCCACAGATATGGCTCCGTGTGCCACCTGTGGCACGCGTGCCATAGGTTCGCCATCACAGCCCTATACTGAAACTCCACACCTGATTTAAGAAAGGAGTAACTAGTTTAGTCAAGGTGATTGATTATCTTTGGGAGAAGGGTTGTGTGGAATTACACTATTTCCCTTTCTCAATAAGCTGCTTATTTCATTTATGGCTACATTTGTATTATTCATTAAAACCTTTCCTGTCTGCAAAATTACATCATTACATAGCTAACACTTGGGGTTCAGGATTGGCACAAAGGTTATTAAGTCCTGTTATTTTTGCACTCTGGGGAGAAAGATAGAAAGCATCACAAAGGGGAAAGGGGACACCATTGCATAATTTGCAGAATACCATGGTACATATTTACCAGAGGGGAAAATGGTAGCAGACAGAGTCAGAAAGAAGTTACCTAAGAGAGTTGCCTATTGCTCCTTAGGGTTTACTCTTAGCAAGATGACAGCACTCGTATTCCCACCACCCATTCTGTTTACATTAAAACTTAAGTCTTACTCTCATTCAACTGGCAGGGAAAAGCATTCGCCACTCTACTTAAGGGCAATAGACTACCTTAGATGGGCACACAAAATCACATATGATTAACAACCATTCTGTTCCCATCATCCCCATTTAATCCTGCTCCATTATTTTGCCAAAGGGAAGAACCAGTTTGGAGTCTGAAAAATACTCATCCTAACAACAAACTAGTTTCAACCACTACAACTGGAGGGACATACCGGTAATAGAGAAAAAATCAACAGTGACCCATCAGTAGAGGTGGCTCATGGAAGCATGAAAGCTGCTAATGATAAGTTGTAAAAACAAGACTAAGCCTTTTATATCTAAATCGTAGAAGGGCATTATTATAACTGATTACAAAAGTCCTGAGAAATATTATTGATTTACAATAAAAATTAGTAATATAGCTTGTTTTGAGGATATGGCATTGATAATTATTGCACAGATGATGAAAGATCATGGAAGTAGTTGTACATCTACAGAAATATAGTAAGAGACTCAACATCACACCCAGTCTAAGTAAATCAAGGACTCAAAAGTCAATCAAGCAATCAAGGGCTTTCTTTAAAGCAAGTAAAAGCCAAAAGAGAGAGAAGTAAGAATAAATTTCTACCATATCCAAGATGCTCAGCAGCAGTAGATAAAGCTAAGCGTAAATAGCATCTATGGAAAAGAAAATCACCCTACTTTATCTACTTGCAAACTAAAGCAGTTACATACATAAAGTGATACAAAAAATTTACATGCCAATACACAATTCAGCTTCGATTTTTCAAATAACAGAATTTTCCAGCTAATATGTTGGTATAGTGCTTTGTTCCTCATTGCAAAGTGTTATGGCATCATAATGCAAACTCTTATATTTGTATCACATCACACAAATATGTAAGAGGCAGCATTTATGAGTGCAGGTTTTGTCATTCCCTCCCCCTCCCCCAAATGAAAAAGACCTTAGGATATGAAGTTAAGGGACTCACTCCAAACAAGACATTTCTGCTGTTGATCTTTCCTTTCTCCCAACAGTATTTCTAACCATTTCTCTTTCCACAAACCAAAGAATTCCAAGCAGATAAATCAATGACGTATTGAGAGACAATTTTGATGTGTACTCAAGACTGAATCAGTTTAATATTTGTTTTGCACTTTCCAGTTTCACAACTTTTGCATTTTCTAATACAAAGCAATAGTTGACAGAACACAAAATACTGATTTTGAAAGTAATTTTTAAAAGACAGAAAACACAAATAAAGGAACCCTTGTTTTCCAGTTCTCAGCCATTCCTTGCATTTCAAGGATTCCTTCCCTTCTATGATGCAACCAGTGTTCATTCTCACAGAAAGTAAAAGCCTGCCTGGCCCAGTGCCAGAAAAATGAGATAGCTATTTAAATCCAAGAGGTCTTTTTTTCCCTGGGTCTGTAATGTAACAGGCAAGACAGACAGACATAGATGGCTAAAGGTTGTTTTTTAAGTATCACTAATGAGACTGTATAGTCACCAGCAACTGACTGAACAAACCATATTCCTTTTTCTGTTATTAAAGTATCTCAGCCTCCACTGGTCTAGATATCCTTAGCTGAATCCAGAGCAAGACAATAGTTCACCCACAGATTTACATCCCACATGATGATTCGAACACATGCTACTTAATTGCACATACACAGCTGACCATATACATGATTACAAATTCTACTTGCTCAATATCCTAGACTGCTGCATGCACATGGCTCTATAAACTTTTCACCTAAGCAAGCAAGTTTTGGCTCTGTACCACAGCTACTAGGCATTACAGGACAAGCTAGGCCAACCTCCATGCTCATACGTTATCCAAACACCTATTTAGCAAATCACCAACACTAACTAGATATTTTACTCTTGTATAAATTATTTCTTTTCCTAAAAACCCAACCTCCAAACATTAAGCTACTGAGGATTACAGTTAGATGGATGCCATACTTGCACTCTATTTTAAGCACTAGAAGCAAAATTCCAAACAAAAAAACACGGTGTATAGATTAAAGTGCAAACTAGGGTACAAAAGCTAGACTTCAATTGTTACAGGTGACATTACAAGAGAATTGATAATGGAAGGAGGAAATTCAACAAAACTGCTTCCTGTTTCAAGAAAACAAACATATATCATTGAGGCTGAAAACCACAAAATCAGTCATGCTAAAATACTTTGATTTTTGTTCCAGTGACATCAAATGGACAAAAATAGACCTAAATCCAAAGACTCTTGCTTAGGATGAGTTTCCAGATAAACTGGAAGCTGGAACTGTTAAGTACACTCAGATCTGAATATATCACATCAAATTTAGAGATAAACAGCATCTCCTGTCCCATTCTTTCCTCCACCCCCTTTGTTTGAAAGAGAAAAATCTTCCGTATGGGGTGGCACTCCTATTCCACTTTTGCCTCTGGAACATATTAGGTATTACAAGAGCTGCTTGATGGGAAAACTTTAAAGCAAAGATGTGTACATACAGTTTCCTAGGAATTATTAGAAAGTCTTTGCCTCTCAATCAAGATTATTTACTCATTTAAGATTTTGCTACAACACAACAAACCAAAACTCAAGAAACAGGAATGGAGTGCCAGTACAACTACACAATAGCTCATCATAAAGCAAACACAAGGGAAACATTAACATATGAAGCTATTCCTTTCTCAGCAAAAAAAAAAAAAGAAGAAGTTATTTTCACATTTAGAAATTCCTGACCACTTCCTTCCCTCCCACATTTTCAATTCATAAATTCATGATCACATTTAAAGGGGATGTGCAACAACATCAGAGAGAACGATCCATCACCATCTCCAGCTCTGGGACCGCACAGTTTTTAGAGATTAAGTCGAGTGTTGGTGCAATGCAATGGCCAACCCTTCCTTCTGTATACTCTCACCTTTTAGGTACAGAAAGAGATATAAAATCAGCATTGTCACATAGTGAGGCCTACTATCTAAGCAGTTTCTTGCTTTCCCAATGTTGGCCTGTGCTGCTTTCATGACTTTCCCATCATCATGACTCCCATTTTTTTTCAGTTCTCCAAGGATAAAAATGCAAAGACCACTGTAGTGTCAAAAAAGCCTAATCCTTCCCCCCCTCCTCTTCTCCAGAAGAATCAAAGCTATTTAAGGGAGCAAAATGAAAGGGGGGGAACCACTGCGCCCCCCACCCCACCCCCCACTCGCTGAAGCTATACAGCTCTCAAGGCAATGGGATGTTAGGCTCAATCGTCCCAGAGAAAAGGGGCGGCGGAGAAAAAAAAAAACCATCTATTTGCAGGGCGCTAGATGGCAGCCAGGCCCGAAGCACGTGCCCTTTTCGGTGACACGAAAAATGACGACCGCTCTTTTCCACCTCAAGTCTCCAGAATTGAAAAGGAGCACAGGGGACTCAGCGTTGGGCCAGGCGAGGAAGCGCACTGAGGAACCCAGCGGTTGTAGCACCAGCAGCACCGAGACGTGGGGCGGGGGGAGGGAGGCAGGCAGGCAAGAGGGCCAGGATCAGGTTAGCACGGAAAGGGCGAGCGGGGACACCTCAGCGCCGGCTGCACCAGGACAGACGATGCGGTAAATAAATCATCTGCCCGGTCCTGGGCTGCTGCACCAAGTGACGCGGAAGGAAGGAAAGGAGGAGAAAATGCCCGGTGGCCGCTGCACCAGATCCTGTGGGTGGGGCGCAAGGAAATAAACGGGCGAGCGCTTTCCTTTAGCCAGGCAACCGGCTTCATTTCTTGGAGCTCTGGGTCTTCTTGGGCAGCAGCACGGCCTGGATATTGGGCAGAACCCCACCCTGGGCGATAGTCACCCCGCCCAGCAGCTTGTTGAGCTCCTCGTCGTTGCGAATGGCCAGCTGCAGGTGCCGAGGGATGATCCTGGTCTTTTTGTTGTCCCGCGCAGCGTTGCCGGCCAGTTCCAGGATCTCAGCCGAGAGATACTCGAGCACGGCAGCTAAATAAACAGGCGCTCCGGCGCCCACACGCTCCGCGTAGTTGCCCTTCCGCAGCAGCCGATGCACTCGCCCGACGGGGAACTGGAGGCCGGCACGAGAGGAGCGAGACTTGGCTTTGGCTCTGGCTTTACCTCCGGATTTACCTCGGCCGGACATAACGGGGCGAGGCTGGGCGCTCGGGAAGAGCTAAGGCGCCGAGACCCGGTTGCAAAAGACAGGCAGGCAGGCAGGCAGAAACGGCCTCGTCTGGATAAACGGGAGAGAAATAACACCCGCGTAAGCAAAGCGGCGGCGGAGAGGGGGGCGACTAGAAGAGCGGCAGGACGCTGACGCCGCGCATTCCACACTCCTCCCACCCGCGGCCTCAACCCGATCTAATGACCCCGATCCACCAGCTCTCCGATTAGCTCTCCTTGGGATTCCCCCTCCCCCCCTTACCGTTGGTTACTTCCACGGGGGCCCCCGGAATAGCCGCAGCTGCAATGACAACAAGCGCGAGGAGCTGAAGGATATAAATCCAAGCGCATCCTCTCGCTGGCTTCCCATTGGCGGCCGAGAGAGCGGAGCTGCGCTCTTATTGGCGGGGCACTCCGATCTCTGATTTGCATAGTAGCTGGCGTCCTCCATATTCGGGCTCGGCTGAGAAGTAGGGCAGCGGCGGAGCGAAAGACCTCTGGGTGCGTGCAAAAGGATTAAGTATTAATAAAGGGGAATATTTTGTAGCTCAGGGTTGACAAGAGGCGCCCTTGGTGCTCTCTGAGCTTGCTTCTTTTATTGCAGACGTTTCATTACCCAAACTAGGTAACGTCATCAAGTGCTAGCAAGGAGTGCTGTTTGCTGTCAGTTTATATTCTGGTGGCTTGCCCTGTCAAGTGTTGGTAGAGATTCTTTGATCGGGCTGTTTGCTGTTGGCTTCTTTGGCAGTTTCTTGATTGGGGTATCGTTTACTTGATGATTTGCCTGATGTTAACCTTGGAGTTATCTGTGCTGATCTGGGTGCTGATTGTTGGGGGGGGGGGGGGGGTTCCCTGCTTGATTGTCTCTTTTGCATAGTCTATAGATATTTTTAATGTCTATATGTCTATTGATGGCTAATCTGACAGAGTGCCAGGCTTCTAGAAATTCCCTAGTGTGTTTGGACTATGGACTTGGTCTTTGGACTACGTTCTATGTAGTATGATGGACTGCAAGGCCGGCGCAATGTGTGACATGTTCACACTGGTGCAATAGGACTGGGTGTTTTGTTAATATGATTTATTGGGTTACTGATTTTCTGTCTTCACTGTGAGTTGTATTGTGTTGGGGGGGTGCACTGAGGGAGCTCAACCAATCTCATTGCACATATGTTGTGCACTGACAATAAAGATTTGAATTGAATTCACTTGGCTTGGTCTAGGCTGGTCACATTTTCCCAATAAAAACTATGGTTTTAAGTCTGTCTATATGTTGTGAAATCAATGATAAAAATTCTGTAAGCAAGTTTGGCAATGAAACGTCTGCAAAAAACAAAACAAAAAACAACACCTCAGACAACACCAAGGACTCCCTCAGGATTAAGTATATTAAGATGCAGAAGTTGCAACCTTTGGGAGACCTCAGGTCTTCCGCACAGAGTGACAGAAGGAGCTGAAGAAAGAGAAGCACTTTCTTTTGCTTGCTGCTTCTAGTGCAGGGGTCTCCAACCTTGGCAACTTTAAGACTTGTGGACTTCAACTCCACAAGTTGAAGTCCACAAGTCTTAAAGTTGCCAAGGTTGGAGACCCCTGTTCTAGTGCATTGTCACCTGGAACGGCCAATCTGCTTTGAAGCATTAGAGTGAGTAAGAGGTGGCGGAGCAGGGTATTTCCTTCAGTGCCACGCCAAATTCATTTTCCCAGGATAACTTTGTTTCTCGCTCCCTAGTTCGTGGTTAACTGACACAAGTGCAAATGCATTCAAAGGATCGGTATTGCCCAACCGCTCTGTAAAGGTCCATGTAAAGAAATGCCAGGTTTCTCACAAAATGTGATGGGCTAACAAGAAAGAGTGGGATGGGTTTATTCCAATTTTTATTTATTTGTGCAATATCTAAACAAACTGCATGTGGATGGGGTCCGGTTTTAGTTTGCTTTCTGGAAACAGCTGGAGCCGTGGCTTGGATATTTGCGAAGGTTGCTCAGTCCAGAAGCAGGAAAGATAAAAAGACATACGCATTTAGCAGAAGTTTTGTGACTGTTGTTAAAGTCACAAACCTCTTGAATGTGATTTTTTTCCAGAGTTCTAGCATCATGCAGCTAAGGAGAAGGAATTGCATTTAAAGTGGTGTATGAATATGGAGAAATGAAAAGTTATTAATTCTTTCCCATCAGATCTACAAATTCGGAGAAAGGCAAAAGAATAATGGTTTTTTTTTCAGCATTACCATCAGTCAGTTGCAAAAGGAAACTCTACTTGGAACTGTTTATGTCCTGCACAATACCTTTAACAACATCAAACATCTGGGTACCCCAGATCTTTGAGGACTCATCCAATCTAAACATCTGGCTGACTGTGCAACCAATCATAATAATAGTAATAAAATATCTAATCAAATGCCAGATTGGGCATTGGGGATGGAATAGGATAAGATAGGATCGAATCAAAATGAAACCTTGGAGGTCTTCTAGTCCAACTCTCTGTTTAGGCAGAAAACCCTATAATGCATGATTTACTTACATGTTTGTCTACCATGTCCTATTATTACAAATTGTGAAGCATATTCAAGTATCTCACAGCCCAATCTTCTCACAGGATTGCTGTTAAGAAAAATAGGGAGCTCTATGTACATTCCCTTGAGCTCTTGACTTTTTGAAACTAACTAAAATTAGCAAACTGCTATTCAAGATTGTTACTTGGATGTTTCCTTGTACTGAGCAGGTTATACATATTTAAGTGAGGAAGAGAAATTTTGGAATAATTCAATAAACTGGGCCAATAAAAAGCAGGGAGAAATATAATCAGCTGCTCGGTAATGTAGACCCCCCCCCCCCCCCCCCGCAACTATTTCAGCAACAGCTGCAGTCACTGTAAAATTATAAAATTATTACTAAATGTGCAACTAATATTGAAGAGACTCTTCTCCCTACTCCCATAACTATAAATTAGCACACACATAATTAAATTACATAAAACTGTTGCCATGGCCCAAAAGGTTCACCTGAGCCTTCAAAGGAAGTGTTCACAAAAGATTTCCGTTCATGAAAACAGATGGTCATGCCCATTTTTAGCTTGGGCTCTGGATGTTTTTGGAGCTAATCGCTATCAAGGCCATGGAGAAACTCCATCCCTCCGTGACCTAAACTTCTCTCGCTATCCAGTAAGGAGATCTTAGCAAGCTGATTACAGACAATACCCCTCTTCTTCAGTTCCAACTGTAGCTATTCTTAAATAATTGGAAAGACAATCCTGCATCATTCCCAATGATAGTACAAGAAGCCTATAAGAGATGGCACAAACTACAGAATGTTCAAAATGGTTACAACATGAATTGGTGCAAAAGTACAAACTCTTCAGGATTGGGAATATTTTCTGCACTGAATAATCAAATGCCCAGAATTCTGATTGTATATATTAATGTACGCTTTTATAAACATCAACTTAAGGGAGATATGTTACAGTAACTCTCACTGTAAATTGTATTTTACTGTATTTAGTAGGAATTGTATGTGTGCAAACATTAACGGGATAGCTAAATGCTTTTTTATTTCTAAGGCTGTTGTCAGAAGGTTAGAAATTAACGATATCAAAATAGGTTTAATTCTGAACAAAATCTTTATTTATACTGCCAGCATTGTTTATGTATTAAAACCTTTAAAAGTATCCCAAATTTGCCTTATTTTAGTGAACAATCTTTCATGCATTTCAGCGGAACTATAAATAATTGGAACCCAACTATTTTTCTTCACATCTAATAAAACGAATGATCATGTAACCAATGAAAAAAATTAAATGCTCTCCCCCCTCTTTAGCCCAGGATTTTGTGAAGATATACATCTGCATGAATTTTAGACCTATTCAGGCCTTGTACTCTAGCTCTCTGTGAGTGGAATAAGTTGATCCTATGCATAAAGGTGGATTTATCTTCTGAAGTACCATTTTAACCATCCAGCTGTCCCTTTTGACAATAGTGGTCTTGATGTCTCTTAGGCTGAACCGCAACACTGCCTTGAGTCCAGTATGACTCCTTGTAAACAGCTAACATTCTGTCTTTGTCTCTTGACCCTATAACGCTTTAGTTTACAGTATTGCATTTTTACTCCTTAATACAGCCAACACTAGTGCTACCTATCCTCATTTTCCCCCAAAAAACAAGGCTAAAGTTCTTTCTTTCTTCCTTGCTATTTTTATACCACCTATTCAAAATATTGACTACAGTGGTGGCCTGATCACATCATTACAGCTTTGATGAATTTGTTAAACAATACTATCAAAGGTTTGGAACGAATAATAAATCCAAAATAGTGAAACAAGATCCTTTTGGAATAGCTTCCCAACCACTGGAATTATATTTGTATATTGCTTGCAGATGACATTCCACATCTTCCAAAACAGATTAAAAAGGACAAAAACGTGAACTGGTTTCAGTATAAATTATCATTCTCACTGTGCAGCAGCAAATCTCCAGCATTAACAGTGACCTATTTTTTCCCCATAAAAGATGAAGCAATCCACAAAGTGAATTGAATGAATACTAAGATGGTAACCATGACAAACCAAATCTCTGCTTGTGTCCTTGGAGGAGAAAAAATAACATTAAATCCTTCACTTCTTACATATTTTGGAACGCTATTGCCTTTTCAACATTGGCAAGGTCAAGTCAATGCTGCATTAACATCTATACCCTATTTCTTTCAGACAAAAGAAACTAAGTGTTAAATGTCATCTACTCAGCATCAGAAAGGAAGCATATCTGAAGTCTTATAATTTATTTATAGATTATACCTGTATTACAATCTAAATCAAAAATTTAAATATTGCAATAACTTTAAATTTAAATATTGCAATAACTCAACACATAAGATCCTCTTTGGCTAAGAACGGGCTCGGTAATAAGCAATGTAACCAAATTATCACTGCTTTTTCAGTTGCTTTGCAGAAGGTTCTCCATCTTTTTTGAGCCACTGGTGCATTAAGTCCATGCTAGTTTTTTTACACGGTGGTGTCTGGATGAACTGGCTGGACCACTTTGGTAAATTGTCTTTATCCTTCTCATCTCTCCTGGGGCCTTTGTTTTTTAACCAGTTCAGCATTACTGTGCTGCTTGCATTGATTTTGGTATTCTGGAAGATACAAAATAAGAAAAATCAGATTTTTATGACTAGTCCATTCAAAACGACAGACTAGTTTAGTGAATCTTGATATTACAATTTAGTTGTCTCATGTCACATTCCAACTTGGTGAAATGAAAAATGCTACCACAATTGAACCCAGAATTTCCATTGCTAAGTGAGACAGTTGTTAAGTGGGTTTTCCCCCATTTTATGATCTTTCTTGCCATGGTGGTTAAAAAAATCA